CAAGGCCAAAAATCCTCTCTTCAGGAAGAAAGTTGACCTTTATTCTAACACAGAGACAAAATGGACAGTAAGACAAATTATATGTAATTTAAAATTCAACCAAAAACTAAACAATAAAGGAATCTTTCATTTTAAAGATATAATCATGGGGCTGGGAAGGTGGCTCAGTGGTAGAGCGCTTGCCTTGCATGCTCAAGGCCCTGGGTTCGATTCCTCAGCACCACATATGCAAAAAGGAAAAAGCCGGAAGTGGCGCTGTGGCTCAAGTGGTAGAGCGCTAGCCTTGAGCTGAAGAGCTGAGGGACAGTGCCCAGGCCAGAGTTCAGGCCCCACGACCGGACCCAAAATAAATAAATAAAGATATAATCATTCGATAACTTTGTTTCTAATCCCTACTTGTCATAACTACATCTTAATCTAAACTTAATTTTACTTCCTGACCAATGTAGATTCCTACTTTTGTTTTGGTTTGGTTTTTTGGAGAATGGGTCTCACTATGTAGCTGAAAATGGCCTAGAACTCGCCATCCTCCTCTCTCAGCTTCCTGACTGCTAGGATTACAAGTATGTTCCACGGGCTGAGGACATAATTCAGCTAACAGAGTACTTGCCTGGCTTGCAAAAGGCCCTGGCTTCCATCCCCAGTACCACATGGAAACAAACATGCACCATCAGACCAGATGATTTCTACTTTTTAATTCACCCTTGAATATATGTTGGCAATAGAACCCGCATGAAACCAGCAGAAGTTTCTGGAACCTTCTACCTTGTTGGGTATTCAAAAATCTTTTGGGTTCTTACAGTGGATAGTTTTCGCTCTGCTTTGCCCAAGGGAGTGTAATTTGCCATCTGAGGCTGTTTGGGAAAATTAAAGGGCTCTCAGTTTGCCCCATAGGCCTTCCTGTTGAATAGGAAGACAAACTTCTTCCTATTCCTCTGCCTTGTACCTCATTTACTAAGAGAGGAGAGAGTGCATGCACCCATATTAACAATTTGAAACTCACATCACTTTTTCCAGTAAAAGGAGTAACTTCCTCTTTCAACCGAACTAATGGGATGGGGTAAGGGAAAAAAAAATTCCCTTCGGGAAGTAATCACCAATCCTAGGTTAAGTAATGCTTTTATTTTAAAGTAATAGCATTTTCCTAGCCTCTGAAATTGTCTTCAGTCTTATAAACTGCTTTGATAAGAAAGTTTTCTTAGAACAACTTCCTTTCTAAACTTGTTTGTCTACTTGCAGAGGCATTTTAAAAGATATAATTCAAATAGAAAACATCTGCTTTTAAGAGATAGCCTTAAAATGCTTCTACCATGTTTGGAAAGATACTAGAATATCCATCCCTTACTGCAGAATTCCAGGTTTTAAAAAAGAATCCTAGCCAGGTGCCAGTGGCTCACTCCTGTAATCCTAGCTATTCCAGAGACTGAGATTGCAGTTCAAAGCCAGCCAGGGCAGGAAAGTTTGTGAGACTATTATCTCCAATTAACTATCAAAATGCCAGAAATGGAGCTGTGGCTCAAGTGGTACAGCACTAGCCTTTAGCAAAAAAGCTCAAGGACAACACTCAGGCCCAGCACACACAACAAAAACCTTCTTCTAGATTCTCTACAGTGTTCCATAATTGGTATGAACCCATAAAGAGAGATGAACACAGTCAAAATATTAATATTTTTCCAATGTCACAGAGTATGTTCATCTTTGATTTTAGCATAAATCCAGCTCCTGAAACTATTTTGGAATGCTCCTTTAGTTATTCATATATAGGAACCTTTTCATTTCTCCTTTTTATTTCTTGAAGGCACTTTAGAACTATGCTAGTTTTGTAACTAATATGTCTTCAAAAACCACAATTCTATGCTTTTTATTAGTGCACGTAAGATAACCAGGTGTTAATTAGAACAATATAAAAGACTCCTCCCCCTTGAGATTTTATGTGCTTTTCATTCATTTATTCCTTTCTACTTTGTCCTGTTTTTAAACAATTATTGAGCATCTATTTCCTGTGAAGCAGTGTTTTTAATGACTGGACAAAGATCAACAAAAGGGACAAGCTTTCTTTCTCCCTAGAACATAAAGTCCAATTAGGGAGAAAGACATTCCATTAATTATTTGGGAAACAGATTTAATTAAACAGCACAGAGTGAACCCTAATGTAAGCTATGAAATTTAATTAATAAATAACATATCAACAATGGTTCCTTAATTGTAACAAATTTTACCAAATGCAAGCTATTAAAAATGAGGAGAACTGTAAGAGTAGGGGGGTACATTTTTCATAAATTTAAAACTTTTCTAAAAATTAGTCTCTTAATTTAAAAAATTAAATTGCTGTAAAAGATAAATCACTCAAAAGGACACAAGCAGTACACAACTAGAAAGAATAGTGTGTGTGTGTGTGTGTGTGTGTGTGTGTGTGTGTGGAGGGTGTAACATAATTTAGAATGGAGAATAAGGAAAGACGTTTCCCAAGTGTTACAAGGCCAGAACTAGAGGATAAGTAAGGGCTAGGTAGGCAAAGTATGTTCAGTAAAGCAAAGTGATACAATTGGAATTGCCCTTTGGAAATAACCATTTTGACTTTTCTGTGGGAAAAGAAGTTGGGAAGCATGTAGAATGGATCCTAGCCTTTGCTTCCCGTTTTACAAAGTACTAGAATTGCACAGTGGCAGTGGATGGATGGTTCCTTTGGTCAGCCTCTGAGAGAAATCCTGGGGTTCTTCAAGAGTTGGGTGCTAGAAAAGGAGACTTTGTGGTTAGTGCCATAGGGTTCCCAGATCTCAGTTCCCATCGTCTTTCTTGTGGTTCCTTGGGTTTATGGAATTAGGAACAATTGTATATGTGTGTGTTTGAGTCTACAACCAAAATAAGAAGAAAATGAAAAGAGGGAGAAAACAACCTTCAATTATTATCTAGCCATAGTGATAGATTTTCATAGACGTCTGTATAATATTTATTTTGCAAAAGTTATTCCTATTGCCAGATTGTTGTAAAATTTGTTTTTGTTCTTTTAAGACTATAATCTGAAAAAAATTGCTCTGAGTCAACAAAGAATATCCTTTAAAAAGGTCCATTTCAGCAAAGCATTGTTTTATTACATCAGTATTGAATGGTTTCGTATCAGAGTTCTTACGGGCAGTGAACTGCTAAGGAAAAGTATTCTACTGGGTAAAAGGAAGCATCTTTCTGGAGAGATTTCTATTGATTCTGGAATTGTTATTAGTATCATGGAAACTTGAATAGCTCAAGGTTCTGTTTCCATTTAAAATTAAACAGTTCTGCATTATCCACTTCACTATTTGTAATTTTTTATCTGCCTATAAGTATGTGCACCCAAGATTTACCAAGCATCAATTATTTTTGTGCATTTCCTTTAGAGTAGAAAAATTGTATAAGATGGTTGTAATTGTATAAGGTAGTTAGATAATGTATTGAAAAATTTTTAGGAAGGATGCATTTTATAGTACTGAGCTGTACATACAAAATGGTTAATGTAATCCATTTATACTCCTCTCTAAAGTTCACTATTATTTTTTGTATTCTTGGAAACCCAAGAAAACAAAGGGGTAAGAACACCCCTGCCACACACACATGCGCGTGCACACGCACACGCGCACACACACACACACACACACAGACTTGAGCAGATCCGTTGTTTATTTTAGGAACTAGACACACATCATTAGTGTACGGTTAAGTAGTCTAGTTATGAATATGGAATAAATGGATAAAATGAAGTTTTCCACTCTGATGTCTCCATTAAGAAGCTCCTCTTTGTGTAAAATACTCCATGGAAAGTTGCTTCTATTTAAAGTAGTGAGTTTGATCTTGGCTTTGATCTAAACCTTTTGATCTTGAAAGAAGGATGGAGTAGCAATAAAGAGGGGGCAAGACAGATTTTCTTTAAAGAAATGCGATAAAGTTAAAGGGTTGGTCAAAATCAGCAAGGCAAGTACTACCCAACTCCCCTTCCCGGCCCTTGCTGGCAGCTAGTTCGACAACTTCTGATGCGGATGGGAAGAAAGCCCTTAGGGGGTTGGAGAAAAACTTGAGGGAGCGCACAGTTGGTAAACTATGTGGAAACGTTCGGCCTCATTATGAACACGGATTGATCCTTTTAGAACAGTCGCTTTGGCGGTCCACCGCGGCTGAAGGGCTGCAGGTCTGCACTGGCGCAGGCCGGTGCAGTGCGGGCTGTCTGTCTGTGATTCCCGCGCGCGCCCGGGATAGCTTTTACGCACAGGCGGTCTCCCTCTCGGAGGTCACCTGTCACCACTTGGGAGTCCTGGGGACGCTGAAAAAGGTCTACTTAATGGCGTCTAATCGGTTCCCCGCGAACACTCCAGTAGGAAAGTTCCTTTTCCTGCGCCAAAGCCAAGGAGCCACTTAGGTTTCTGACCTGAGACGCAAGTACAGGCCTCCCTCGGGAGACGGGGCTGTGGGTGGCATCTCTGCAGAGTACTTCGGGGGCCCCTACGGCCGGCCGTCGAAGAGAGCCTTTCGCGGGTACCCCGGTACCTAGGACAGGGGGTTGAATAGGTGAAGCGCGCACCCCGAGGCCTGTCCCCACGCGGCCTGGGGCGGGATCGAGGCCACCGGAGAACGCCAGGAGAGTGGCTGGAAAGATGTTTCCAAGGAGAACAATAAAAGATCCGGGCGCGGGGCGGGGGCGACCTGCGGGAGGGCGGTGCGGCGGCCTATACCTTTAAGGCAGGCCCCGCCCCCGCGCCCGCCCGTCCTCCCGCCCGCGCCGCCGCCCGGGCCCCGCGCGCCGGCCGTCCGCGCTGCGCCTGAGGTGTTGCGGGCCCGGAGTGCCTGCCCGGCCGCTCGACGCTCTCGGCCGGCCGCACTCGCGGGCCGCCGCCTCCTCCGCCTCCGCACTCACCTCGGCGGGCGGGCGAGGTAACGCGGCGGGTGCGAAGACTTGGCGGGGCTCCGGGGGGAGGAAGGCTGAGGCCGTTCCGGGATAAACTTGACTCTGCTCCTTTTTCTCCCCCCCGCAGCCGCTGCAGACGGAGCGTCAGGCCGGGGCGGAGTGCGGGCTCGCGCGGCAAGTGGGCGCGGAGGTGAGTGCGGGCGGGCGGCGCGCCCTGCGCCCCCTTCCCGGCCTCCCACTCCCCTCCCCCAGGGCGGCAGACGCGCGACCGCGGCGGGTAAGGTGGGCCCGGTGCGGGGACTCGGCGCGCACGGGCTGCAGAAGCGGGCCCGTGACCCGGAGGCAGCGGCCGGGGCGAAGGTCACGGCTCCCCCCGGCGCGCCGCGGGCCCGGGCGGCGGCGTGCGGCGGCCTGGAGAACCCCGCCAGGTGCTGCGGCCGCCCCAGGTGGGGTGCGGAGCACCGCGCGCGCGCGGGGCTGGAGACCGAGAAGCCCCCCGCCCCCCCCCCCCCCCCCCCCCCCGCCTCCTCACGCCCGCAAGCCAGCCCGTAGCGACCTGTCGACCTGTTTAAAAATGTTATGTGGTCTTTGAACTTCAGGTCACGAAATGGATCCGAGTGAACCGGACACCCCCAAAACGGAAACGAGGGGAGCCAGAAGAGGTGTTTGAAAAGGTAGGTGATTGCTCCGAGGAGTGTTGGGGTGCAGGTCTTCATACATAGCGTCCTCTTCGCGGGGGACTTGGTCACAGTGCTCAGACTAGCATTTTTCTTATTTTTTTTCTTAAAAAAATTAAATTTACAATAAACCAGTTTTCGTTAAACTGTATGGCTAATTCTGTAGAAATAGCCTCCACACCAACATACATACTGTGTTCTTGTGAAGTACGAATGACTCAGATGGAGATTAAATAGAGCAACAGGACTTGAGCGGGTTCCATTCTGTTAGATGTGTGGCAAGGCATCACAGCGTCAAGGTACCTTGGAAAAAGCTTTCCAAGCGAATGTTTAGAAATGTTTAGAGTGTTAGAAAGGCCCTCTGTGGATATGTTAGAAACAATAGCAACTAGACTTTAAATTGCAGTCACCTGAGAAAATGCGCAATGAAAGAAGTGGGCTACTTTAAAAACACTCGAAGGAATTTTTCTTACTGTAAAGCCAATAAGAAGTTTATTCTCTTAAATTTAGGTTTTTCAATATGTTACTTTATACAAGTTCCATTGCCTCTTTTCTTCTGAAATGGTGTTAAGTTCAAACTTGATTTGTCATTATTGTGATAAGTATTTTAAAATAAGGTAAGTAGTCAGGTATTTTCTAAGTGACCAAATGTACCAGATTTGATTTTTGTTGCTTTTGCTAAATAATTATGTTTTATTGTGCTGTTTTTTTTTGGGGGGGGGGCAATCTAGATAGCACCAAAGGATTAAAATAGCGGTGTGTTGTTTTTCTGCTGCTAGAATGTATGATGAATCACTCTTGATTCTGAAGCCAAATTCTTGCTGATAGTCCTGCTGCCAACTTCTGAGATGTGTTGCCTTAGTATGGGCATTGCAGTATCTGAGAATGTGCACAAAGCACATCATAATGAAGGTGATACCAAAGTTTCAAAGTGCATTTGAGGATACGACAGCAGCTTCTGACAGAGTTGGAAAAGAACTAGCTTGCAAGTGTGATGGTACCTAGACAGTCAATGTGTTTGAGAGCACTACCCTGGGCCTCTCCCATTTTAAACAGTGAGTCGCATTAGTCACTTCAGCTAAACAGTAATAGAAGAGTTATCCTTTTTAAACAGACTTGAGTTTTTGAGCTATACCTCAGTATGCTGTTGAAGGTTATGTTTGTTTAACTTTTCATGATTAAGGTATTTTTAAGTTTGTGATGAGGTGATGACTGAGGTAATAAAATATCCAGAGAAGGAAAAGTACTTAAAAATGGCTGTAGCTAGTACTTTTTAAAAGTCAAACGTAAGAGTGCCTGAACACAATCTGTCTTGCAAGAGGGAGAAGCCATTCTCTTTGTGGATTACTCAATATCAGTATTGACCCTACCAAAATCTGAACTAGAAGTAACCTTATCTGTGCCACTCATGTGGCCACTGTGTCTTCTGAGAATTGGGGGTGGGGGTGGGGTAAGAGAACAACTGAGGCTTTTAGGGTCTGAGAATGGGAGTTCTCTCAGCCGACTCTCTTAACCAGATAGTCTTTTGTGTTAGAACTCTCAGAAAGAACGCTCCTCTGACTTTTCATCCTAGAAAGTGCAGGCAGCCGTTTAAAAGAGAGCAAGAAAATGGGACCAACATAAAGTTGGGACTACCATTAAGAACTTCCTTTCAAGGAGCGGATCTGACAGCTGACTTAGCCTGGAAGGTGAGGTGGGGAGGGCAAGAACTGGAAATTTCAGTCATAGCAGAATACCTTAATCATTATTGTCTCTAGTCTCATCTCCAAGCTGTGGACAGATACAGAGCATTCTGGCCTCTGGTTCTGACCTTAGAGAATGCTTGTAGGCAAAGAATTCAGTATTGCCGAGGGTTGGGTGGAAGGAAGATGAGCACCCCAAGGGCCTATATACCAGGTTCTCAAAGACATGGAAGCATTCCTGCAGCTCTCAGTGAAGTATGTCTGGGTTCTGAAACACAGATTGTACTCTGTGGTAATGAATACAGTGCAGTCATGTATTAACTAACTTTTTGTTAGGATTTGTGTTTGTGATTAGTAGGAACTAAGGTGTTCGTTCACTGCTGATTCTAATGTTACTTTTTTTTTTTTTTTAATGTCCATCGTGCCACAAGTAGAAGCAGATTATTCACTTTGACCTTTTTCCTGCACCCACTATATTTTTATCTAAACTAAAATTATACTTTTTCTGCCTTTATACTATTGTAAAATAAGTTTTCGTTATTTCTGACATACATCTTTTAAATCTAGCCACTGTCTTTGCCCTCTTTGTTTTCCTTGCCTTCATTCCTCCTTAAGAGCAACAGCTCTTCCATCTCCCAAATGTCTGTCTGCATCTTAGGATTCAGTCTAGATGAGTGTGTTTGGTTTAGTATCTTGTATTAACTGTGCTAAGGTCATAACATTTTTCCTCCTATGGAAGGGCGCAACTTTTACTGCCTTGTGGAAAGCAGAACCTTCTGGCCTGTCTGAGAAAAGAAAGAAAACAGCCTCACTGAAAAGCCAGTCTCTGACAAGGGCAAGGAGCCCCATGTAAAGAAGGAACTATCTCAGAGGATGTTTGTTTTTCCCCTTAAAGAAATTCTCTGAGGTGCTAAGTGGTAGGCATAGTCTGATGGAACTTGAAATTCTAGTTGAGTTTTTCAGTGAACTCAGGAGGGGAAGCAAAACAAACAGCCTGTGCTCAGCTGTGGGTTAGAACAACGAATAATGAAATAAAGGAAATTGGGTGAGTGAGATACTGCACCCAGATAAGTGATTTAAAATGCTCTTCTGGCCTTTCCTGGCCTCTGATTCCTTCTGCTTCGTGTCATTCCCACCCACCAGATAGCTGGGCTGCCTTTCTGATCTGTCTTCTCAGGATCTCACCTCCTATCTTTATGCATCTTTCTCTCTTACACATCTCAGAATCTTTTCTGACCTTATTTCCATTTTAGTCTTGTACTCTAGCTCTTTGTCCACCAGTAAAACTCTGTTCTCTTAAACTGCTCGATTTTCTTTATTTAAAATGACAAACTTGGATCTCTTCTGTTTCTGATCTTGAGGTATTTTCTCCTTCCAATTCTGTTTTTTTTGGGAGGGGGTCTTTTTTGTTTCATCAAATTCCTTTTATTTAGTTTGAATAATTTTTCAACAGAAAATCAGTAAGACCAAGACTGACTACACAAAGAACAATTAAGATGAGAGGGTCACGAAGCTCTGCAAGGGCAGATCACACAGTTGTGATTGCAGCAGTAGTTTCAGTGTGCGTGTGTGTGTGTGTGTGTGTGTGTGTGTGTGTGTGTGTGTTTTCAACAGTAGATAATAATAAGTGGCTTTTGGTGTTAGAAGACCACACCTTTTTTTTCCTGTTTTTACCTTAAACTAGTTCAAAGATAACTGCAACTTATGCATCAAAGTTTTGTAAGAACATGTATATAGTTTTAATAATTTTATAGTTTATGAATTTAATAATTCAGAAATAATATATTTTAGGGGAAAATATGAATGGTTTGTAATTGATATTTTAAAGACAAACCCATTTCCTTTTTCAGGTTCAAAAAAAACACCCTTTCTAGTTTTCATGTATTTGATAATAGGCTAGAACAAATTTTACAATATTAATTTCTGGTCATCACTCAATACCACAGTATTTATTGGTATATCTTCAAAATATTGAAATTCAGCTGTTGCTGTTACTAAAACTCAGTAGTGTGTTTGGAAGCGGGTGTCTAAGGCACGATCGGCTGGCCTTTGTTCTGATTAGTCATAATTAACAGTAGGTGAAAATGGCGTTTTGTTGTTGTTGTTTTTATAACAGCACTCTTTATAATATTTTTTTTTGCCAGACCAGAGCCTGAAAATCAACACTTTGGATCATAAAATTATTGAAAACTTAGTGAAATTGTCATTGACATAGCTAAAGTACAACGTAGGATCTATAAGGATAGTTGTCTAAAATGTGGACATCATAGTAAGTAGTGGCCCTTTTAATTGAGACCAAATGATAAAGCTCTGTTTTCTGAGTATGATAATAAAATAGTAAAATAATAAATAGTAAAAAAAATAGTAAAAATAGTTTGTGATGGTATCCTTAGTCATGGAGCATTTTCATTCTATTTTTATTTCATTTGTTCTTTCTACACACTTGTCTTGGAATCACAACCAGTTAGAATTGTAGTTGGAATAGAAATTCACAGATGTTTTTAAATCATGTAAAATCCAGGTTGGTTTGTGAATTCTACATCATTTATTGTTCCTTTTAAAGTTTCCCATGTTGGGAGAGATACTTTTATTATAGTTCTAATATCGAACTATTCAAAATGATGAAAATAGATCTTGCCTATGTAATTGTAACCCCTCTGTATGGTATTTTCACAATAATAATAATAAAAACTTTAAAAAAAGAAAATTGATACAAGTCTTTAATAATGCTTTACTGCTGTGTTTGTCTTTTGTGACAGAAGTCTATATTTATACTGATTATGACTTCTGGAAATCACCATTTAAGATGGATAAAAATTATTCTTCACAACAGTGCATGGTGCCTGTGTTAGGCCTGATCCTGAAGTCACCATCAGTCAGAAGTTAGCAAAGTGGTACAATATGAACATAAAGAGAGCTAGCTAAACATGGAATGGGTTCCTTTACATTGCAGGAGCTATTCTGTCTCCATCTGGCACTCTGCCAGTTTTGAACAGCTACTCTTAAAGCAACTGAGGCAGGAATCCCCTTGAGTGGTTTTCCAGACTTGGTGGCCTTGCCTCTTTTTGAGAGTGCTGGTTCCCTATGAGAATTCATAACTAGTCTACATTTATATAGCCCATAATCTCTTACAATAGCTTCATTGATACTTGACTTCCATAGAAAAGCTTTATGGATTCTAGTGAGTCACAGCTCTTGAGGCACCAGCCTGCCCCCTTCCCTCCCTCCCTATCTGTGAGTGGCTTTGTGTCCTGTGCTGTACTGATTGTGCCTTTGGATGACAAGTTACTTGAGTGATGGAGGGAGGCAGAGTAA